TGAAAATGATCATTATTCTCATTGATTTTCATTTTTCCGCTGACAAATACGTATTAAAGTCAAACTATTTGTTCATTTTTCTCATCTCTATTAGCATAAATCCATTTTTCTAAACCATTTTTCCTATGAAAATGATCATTATTCTCATTGATTTTTACTTTTCCGCTAGGAAAAAAGATATGAGTATATTTAAATCTGATGTACAATCATTTTTTCTATATTAAAATTCATTTTTCAAATGTTCGAAAGTCATTTTTCCTATGAAGAGTATCATTATTCCCATTGTTTCTCATTTTTTCGCTTGGAAAAAACATTTATGTATTTTTTCCTTTGATTATTCTTTTTCTGTTTGACTGTATATATATCTATATATATAGATAGCTTTTCGTAAATTTGTGATTCGTTGATATACTTTATGACACATAGTCTAACATTTTTGACCTGGAAGGCAAAATTCCGCTTAAAATAGTCATTTTTCTCACCGATCAGATTATTGTCCACTGCTGCGTTGGTCTCTTCTTCAAGCGCGCCTCATACACACCCACTCACCATATCTCACAAAAAAGAGGCCATGGGCCTAAACCCTCTTGGGGTTAGGCTAGCATACAAATGTCCTCGATATGCTGAAAATATGAGCAATAAAGTGATGAATCATTTCGAACGGTTCTGTGGTTAGTTTAGGCATGTTTGAAGGTCTAAACTTTTAGTTCCAGGTTTAAAAGGATGAATGTTTTAAAACAGTAGAGTTAGCACGAATCTAAAATTTGTCATTGAGTAGGGTGAATTGTGGCTTCTGTGTTATGACTGTTAAGTACTTCACTACAGCTGTTCACTCATCCAAAGCCAGCTGTGTCTACAATACGTTTCAGTGAAGTCAAGCACTGAGCATTACGATGAGAAACAGGTTTCTTTGCATTCATATCTCGATTCTAAAGATTCCGACTACTAAGGAACTGAATTTTATCAGAAACGGTCACCCAACTCTTCACTCTGTCTCTCAGATTCTAGCCACAGATACCGTCTCCTGTTATAGTTACCTAATGGTAGTTGAATATCTGACATGGAATACTGTTTTTCTAATGTGTGGAGCTGCTTTTTACATAGCAGATGTGAAAGATTGGAAACGACTCTTGATCTTTCTCCGATGAAGCGAGAACAGTTGTGCTCTTCTTTTACTGCTACAATCTAACTTAGTAGTTTTGTGTATACAGAGAAGTAACTGGAGCGTCTATACAAACACGAGAGAGTGAAAGCTCATCCGACAAAAAGGGAAAAAAAATCAGGAAATAGACGAGCGGAAAAGAAATTCACAACGGGGAGAGCTAAGAAAATTTCAAGCAAACAGAATAGCAGACATTCAGGAAATAGAGACGAGTGAGAAATCCATAAGGGGAAGCAGAAAGGGAAAGTTTGTTATTTTTGAAAGCTAAAAAATCAAACTGCTAAGAGGAAATGCACATGTGTCGTTCTCCAGTCTCCTAGCGGACTTGAGGGTGCGGATGTGGGTAAATGTGAGTATGGGTTGGGTGTGGATATTGTTTTCACTTATCATACACCCACATCCACCCCACATCCTATATCGTTGAGAATTTGACAAAGATCCTGCAAGGATTTCTCGTGTTTTTGGTTGCAGGAAGTGAACAAAACATGCAAGCATCTTCTGCAAACACAACTTACTATCATTCCTACATTCTACTTCATGAAAAAATTCTTTTTTGCTTGTGTTGTTACAGTTTTTTCCCAGAAAAAACTTGTTTATCATCACAATTATATTCTTCTTGCTGAAAGATTTTTTTTACACACCTTTCTACATTCTCCTTCTAGAAAAAAAACTTATTTATTCCCATCCTCACGGACTCTTTCCCGGAAAAGAAACAAGTCTGTCGTCGTTCCTGCATTCTTATAGACAGACGTATTTTTCTTCCTCTCATTTCTATACTCTATTTCTTGAAAAAAAACGTATTTCTATTTACTTCAGTCTTTTACGGCAAAAAATTTGTCTATCATCGTTCTTACATTCTTAATATTCGAAGAAATATTTTTTGCTCTCATTATTACATTTTCTTTTTCAGAAAAAAGTATTGTCACTCTGGTACGAAGAGAAGGAAATTATTTCATTAGTAAGTAAAAAGTGTGGTGTAATTTTTTTTGTCTCTTGGCAGGTAGATGTAAAGACCAAAGATGAATTCGAGTACTTATCGATTTAGTAGATTTTTCAAGTAGTCGTGCTAGCAACGGTGAGTTAAATAATCTCATCTCCATATACATTAGCGTCTGTATAAAGGAAATACTCTACTTCATTACACTAACTAGTTGCAAAGTTTAAGATTTAGCACAAGAAAGAGTGTGAAGACAATAATCTGTTGAGTGTATCTTGTAACGGAACGGTGAATGGAATAATTTTGTAATCATAATAAAGAACCACAGTTGAGACTTTTCAGACTATTATATTAGTTTCAGATTCTAATAATCACACTAAAAATTTGCAAAGGTGAATGTGGGTGTGTATTGGTATCAGCAAGAGATATGCCTACACCAACCATAACTTGTCCCCTTCTCCCACACCCACACCCTTAAATTGAGATTTTTGTGTTACATCTGGCGGGGAAAAAGTGATTTTCAAGGTTTTAGGATTTTTATAGAAAAAGATTTCAAAAAATCAGAGTTTTCAAAGAAACTCAAAAACCTAAACATTTCCCCCTCGTAAAAAACGACATTTTTAAAAAATTTGATAGAGCATTGAGCTTTTGGATTTTTATGCAGTTCTTTTAGGGTTCGATGTAAATTCTAAGAAAAACTCAGCTTTTACCTTGTAGAGGAGAGCAGGTGTAGCGAAAGCCGCAAAATTTGAAATTATGACTTACACACATCTTTATATGTGAGTGTTACAATAATGATTTTGCGTGGAAAGCCGTGCGCGAAAATGGTGATGCAGGTAAATGTTAGCGTGCAAATGTCGTAGAACCTATTATTCTATTCTATTTCTACTCTTTCGTTTCATTAGGATTAGATTATGAACCCGAAGAATCGCGATCTACCTCCTGCTCGGACCGCAGACGAAACCCACCATGCTACTCCATTCTCAAAGGAACTTGCTTCCTTGTCCAAATACAGAAACCAATCGGACACATACCTAACTTTTCAGGAACACATAATGATCAGAACCCTCATGAATCCTTGGATATGGAACTATTACTGAACAAAGTCAAACTCGTCGCAGACCCAACCCAACTGATAAAACTTCGTGAGAAATTTCTGGTATACGAAGATAATTTCAAAAGTACCATTGCGCAAGCTATTAGCAATAGACTTTCGTTTGCTGATCTATACCGTGTATGCTCAAAGTACGATAAGAATGGCATTCAACAACATGAAAATAAAAGTGACGAGACGATGCAGTACTTTGTCGACAAGGGTGTATCGTCAGATGCAGCCCAAGCATGTGCTTTTGCAATTTGTTTTTATACAGGCTCAAATAGTGGAACGATCAATCGTGGTGCATCGACAATGGCTCGCCGAGGAAACGGTGAGGCGACTAGCATATTAGAGGATACGGAAGCAGATCACGCTAGTATCATCATGTACTATCTCATCTTGGGTTTATCGCATATCGACTTTTATTGGGGTACCGTCACACGTGCGGTTAATATGCATGGTGAAGAACTAGATCAATACTTCGAAGGTGCTCTTGTTACCTGGATTCAGTTCAGCAGTTGCATGAAAGGTGATCAACCGGCAAAGCATTTCGCTAAACGTAATACTGTCTTTACTATTTTTTCACTTACTGGTCGTAGAATTCAAGAGTTTTCTAACTTTCCTGACGAAGATGAAGTTCTTTTTATGCCTCATTCGTCTTTTCTAGTTACTCATGTGAAGAGAGACAACTATCAAAATCGTATTTTCATGCGCCAAATTGAGCTTGGATTATGTCAACATTCAGTTATGTGGGTCGATGATAATATTTTTGACACAACCTGGGGAAATAAGGTGCAAATGGAAAAGGCTGGTACACTTGGAGGTGAAGTAAGTGTACATTTCATTCCTAAAGTCAATACTCAAGCGGCTCTCATCTTTCTCAAATCAGCATTTGGACAACGACTAAAGGGGAAACCGAACTTTCGCATCGTTACAGACATGCATCGTGACAATGAATCTCCATCGGAAAATGCTGGTGCACGGTTTCTTCTTGAAGTTCGTAAGCTAGGATTTGATTGTCCATGCCTTGTTTTCACTGGTAGAAAGCAAGAATCAAAGGAGCAGCTTGCAAAGATACTGGATCCAGACCAACAGGAAAATATTCAGGTAGCCACCTCAACTGCAAACTTGGAGAAATTTATCAGTTTTGAATGAATGACAAATTTGTCTTTTCAATAAATATTTAATGAGTGATACGTATTATATTTTCTTAGAGGACACTCTTACGATGCTATTATTATCATTTTTTCTCTCTTTCTTCTTCTCTTTCGTTGTTATGTGCGTATGTGTGTGCCTGGATAGGAAAGGGGTATAAGTAGCTACTTTTTTTCTAAATAAATCACTTATCAAAATAAAAAAAAAGTTTTCTTCTCACTCGATCAGGTAAATAAGAGGCCTTGTAACAATCTTACATAAACATGAACACCTATAGCAAGGGTGAGGATGTGGATGTAGATATGGATGGATGTCGTGTTTAGCTTCCTTGTTTATTGTCATACTATCACCCTCATGCACATCCACTCACACTCGTAGGTATACTTCACCAGGAAAATGTGGTAGTAATACAGTGCGCTTGTTTTTCCATCAATATGTTGTTTGTCTTGATGGCTTCATTATTGAGGGTAGGTGTGGGTGTGAATATGGGTATGAATGTGGGTAAGATAAATATGATATACTCACACCCAAGCTCACCCATCCCCGACCCTGAAAATACATGTACATAAATATCTAAAAAGCACGAATCAATGCAGTTTCATCACCTCTTTTAAACTGTACAGACCACAGATCTCTATTTAGTTCCTATCACAATTTACTATAAAAACGTCCGCGTTTCTTGTAATTTGAAATGAATAACAGATATATATATATATATATATATATATATATAGAAAGATGAACGTTTGTGTGTCTGTTCTTTATACATTTAAACACTGTAAGAACTAGTGTCATCAAACTTTTCACGGCAAACTCCGAGGTTGACGCGTCGAAAAGGGATCACAGAGGGTTTTACTAATAGTGTCTGAAAATTGGTGAAAACTTCGTCTAATCTTTAAAAGATTTCGAAGAGTCTTCTCTGATTTTCAAAGTTCTTTCTTCCTGGTTTTGCCTTTTAATGCTGTCCCGAGGTCAAAAACTACCTTCCGGTTTAAAACTTTTACATCTCGAATACTTAGTAACAGACTCTCAAACTAATCATACAGCTTCTCTTCTTGTCTATCATATTTTTATTGAAAAATTGTGATTAAATCGTTCAATATAAATTTAATTATTTAGTTTATCTGTCGTTTGTATAAATTCTTGTTCGCATTCTTTATTACTTGGTTCTACAATTTGATGTCAAGCGTTGTCGATGTCTAACTGTTCCTAGGCGATACTTTTACTATTGTCATATAATCACATTTTTTGTGTGCTAATCAACTAATTAATCAATATTATAAATCTTTTCTTCTCAAATCAAAGTTATTTCTGAATAGTAATACTTGTTTTGTATCTTATTCGCAAGTTACATAACTTATTAGATCAAGTAAGTTTTTGCTGAACCATATCTTTTTTGTTTTCTTCTAAAAACATTCTTCTTTTTCTATTGAATTATTATTGTAATATCACTGTGTAAAAAAATTGACCAGGTCACAACAGGCAGACTTGTTTAGGGCACGGCTTAGTAACCTTGTTGTTGAAGCGCTACAGTGATTGTCTCATCCAAAAATTTGGAGAGTGTAATTGTTTTTTTCATTCGTTTGATAACGAAATGAAATAAAAACCAGAGGCTTTGACAATGTTGATATCATTAATATATCTTAGCGACATTCATCACCTGAATTTTTCTGTGATCAGCGGGTATTTCTACTAGTTTATATTATAATTCTACTATTGAATAAATTGTTAATTTATCCAATAAGGAGTTTAATATGAATTGTTATTTACTCATTTTACTGTTAATATGTGGACAGGATTGTGCAGATTTTATTGACTATTCACGGAAAAGAACACGATCTTTTGATTTTTCTCCTCGTGTAATTTCAATATTTGATTAAAAAACAGAAGAAAATGCAGTGATCCTGTATACGTGCATTACTTGCTGAGTAAATATGTGTTTTTTTAGTAACGATATTCTGTCTTACCTGTAAAGAAAGTTGCAAAAAATGAATTCTTTTTTCTTTTTTCTACTTACCTTGCTGTACGATATAAGCTGAGAGATACACAGGATAGGAATTTATTATAGGTAGTAGTAATAAACATAAAAAAACAGGTAATGATGTCATAAAAACATTGTGATAAAGAGAAATGATTCTCATATAAATAACAGTGTTCGTTTCTTTGCTTAACCATAAATTCTTCAGTTTTTCAACCGCATTCAATTATCGTCCAATTGTTAATATATACATATCATGGACACGAAACATTCCAAACAGAACTTTAATTCCTCTCATGGAGTAACCGTGTCTTACGTTCGTCAACCACGACAACGTATAACTGAAAATTACCTTCTCCTGTGGGTAGACAAGGGCATTGATCAAGCAAACGAAGGTTATGAAACCACATTAAAACAAATACGGACTATTACTGGTGATGTCAATGCTTTTACGCAACGAGATGCATGCATTGACTTTCTTACAGATGCTCAAGAAGACACTAAGTATTTTCTCGTTGTCAGGGATACTATGTCTCAACAAATAATGCTTCTTATCAATGATATTCCTCAGCTGGATAGTGTCTATATCTTCAATGATATTGAAACTCTACATGACCAATGCGCAAAAAAATGCGACAAAATCAAGAGCATTCATACCAACATCGATGATCTATGCAAAGCATTACAAATCGATATCAAGCAATTCAATCAAGACTCAATAGCCATGAGTTTTAACACAGTAAATGAAATGGCTTCGACTGATAACTTAAATCAGTTGGAGCCAAATTTTATGTATACCTAGATATTTAAGGATATTCTCCTTGATATGCAACATGGTGAACAGGCCATTGAAGACTTTATAACTTACTGTCGAGATCATGACTGCTTCTCGTCAACCAATATTAACCGTTTCGAGAAACAATACAATGCTCAAACAGTCATTTGGTGGTATACTTTCCCATCGAATATCTATTCTATGCTCAATTATGCTCTTCGGACACTGGACGCTGATGCAATTATTACTATGGGATTTTTTATGTGCCATCTGCATCAACAAATTCAGCAGCTGTATGAACAACAGCTCAGTACCTACGATGAAGAAACGTTTATAGTTTATAGAGGACAAGGTTTAATGAAATCAGATTTCGAGAAACTTCAAAAAACAAACGGTGGACTTATGTCGTTTAACAATTTTTTGTCTACCAGTACAGATAAAGAAGTGTCCCTCGAATTTGCTCAATGTGCTTCGACAAAACCGGATACGATAGGCATTCTTTTTATAATGTCCATTGATCCGTGTATTAAATCAACACCATTTGCCTCCATCAAAGAGAAAAGTTATTTTAAGGAAGAAAATGAGATTCTCTTCTCAATGCATACAGTCTTTCGAGTGGTTGCAATTAAACAAATGGATAATAAGAATCAACTTTATCAAGTTGAATTACAATTAACGTCGGATGACGACCAACAACTACGATTACTTACCGATCGAATACGAAAAGAAGGTGGTCGTGGTACTGGGTGGCACAGACTGGGGACATTATTGCTTAGAATTGGTCAATTTAATGAAGCTGAAGAACTTTATAACGTATTGCTCGAACAGACATCTGATGAGGGTGAAAAAGCGCTTTATTATAATCAGGTTGGATTTGTACATTCGACACAAAGTGATTATAAAAAGGCAATTTGGTATTACGAGCAAGGCCTTAAAATTCGAGAAAAAACTCTTCCTTCAAATCATCTTGCATTGGCTATTTCATACAACAACTTCGGTGGTGTGTATGAGCGCATGGCAGAGTACTCGAAAGCACTTTCATATTATGAAAAAGCACTTGAAATTGATCAAAAAACTCTTCCTTCAAATCATCCTTCATTGGCTACTTCATACAGCAACATTGGTACTGTGTATAACAGCATGGTAGAGTACGCGAAAGCACTTTTATATTTCGAAAAAGCACTTGAAATTAAACAAAAAACTCTTCCTTCGAATCATCCTGATTTGGCTACTTTATACAACAACATCGGTTTGGTGTATGAGAATATGAGGGAGTACTCAAAAGCACTTTCTTCTCACGAAAAATCACTTGAAATCTGTCAAAAAACTCTTCCTTCGAATCATCCTCATTTGGCTTCTTCATACAACAACATCGGTAGTCTGTATGGCAGCATGGGAGAGTACTTGAAAGCACTTTCATGCTACGAAAAAGCACTTGAACTTCGACAACAGATTTTTCCTTCAAATCATCCTAGTTTGGCTGCTTCATACAACAACATCGGTTTTGTGTACGAAAATATGAAAGACTACTCGAAAGCGCTATCATATTTTGAACGGGCTCTGGACCTATGGCAACGTGCTTTACCTCCAACTCATCGTTATATAAAAAGTGTGAAAGAGAGGATTGCGATTTTAAGAAAGAAATTATAAATAATAGTTGATCAATAAAAAAAAGAATGTTTTGCTCACTTATTTTTAAATTAATTCTATTTTTCAGTAGCACGCGTGCGTGCACAGAGAACAACTCTGTAAATAGTAAAACGGAACAGACAAAGCCGACTGATAAGGTAATACACATTCGTATGGAAGTGTATAAAGAATGTGGATATTGGTGTGGGCGTGCGTGTGGGATGAAGACCTGGCTTTGAATATTAAGTTAATCACCCATACCCTCAATCAATAACAAAATTGATTTTTTCAATCAAACAAACAAACCTAACACTCATTAAATATTCTGTTAAAAGAGTAACCATACGCTGAAATTGATCTTTATCTTTATCACCATTTAATTCACCAATTGCATAACCTGGACAATTATATATCACTGTTTCTGTAGAAACAAATCAATTAATAACTAGATGAAAAGAATTTGCATTTAACACTTTGTATTTGATATAATTTTTATAAATACGAGCAATTTGTCTTTCTTTGGAGTTCACAAGTGATTAATTAGAATTACTTTAGTAATTATCATTATTAAACTTTCTTTTCATTCCAAATCGATAATGTTATAGGTTAGATTATTCGACTTTAATTCTAAAGGTAATTTAAAGTATAAACTGAGATGACTAATCATACAACCAAGAAAACATTAATTCCATTCGTTTTCAGATTAATTATTATATTAATAAGCTATCAATCTGTTCGACCAGAAAATTTAGACAGCATTGTTTATATTTTCACAGAGTTATATTGTTGAACATCTATGGATAGCTGTGCGAATTGATCCAAATGTCAATGTTTCTCTTTGTTTAAACACATACGACAATTCAATAATAAATAGAATTTTATATCTAAAAACAAAAAAAAATAGCAATGCTAAATATTTCTTTTAACAATTCTTCAAAAATCAAAACAATAATTATCAGTAGAAATTTCTTCAATGATAAATAATAAGGTTCGGAAAATGAGTACGTAAAAACATCAATGTATAACAATCAATATCTGTATTACCCGATAAATCAAGTATAAGTAAATTATTCTAAATAAAAAAAATACAATTTTCTATTTTGTTTTCTCGCAGAGAGGTTTTACCATGATTTTTTGTTCAAATAATTTTCGAATACCATTGGATGTAAATTTATTTTTCGATAGATTTAATGATTTTAATTGATCTAATGTTAATTTTTCTAATTGATCCAATATTTCATCAGTTAATTGATTTTCTTAAAATAAATTATATATAAAATAAAAATGAGAAAAAAAAGTTTCATTACCTGATAAATTAATTGAATGAATAAACATAAAATTTTCAAATATTTTTAATATATTAATAATTTGTTCTAATTTTAAACTTAATCGTTGTAATGATAATTCAAATTTATCAAAAAATTTTTTTAATATCAATCGAATATTTGAATAAACAACTAAACCCATTTCTTTACAAATTTGTTCATAGGAAACTATTGGATTTTTTTCAATATAAACTGCTTTAATCTAATAGACAAAAAAAACGAGTTTATTTTGACAAATTTATTTTGTAACCTACATCTGACTCATCAATTGGTATAGCTATTTGAATAGTATCAGCTTCTGTCATACCTAATTCCCAATCTTGTTTATCATAAAGCATAACAAAACAAGCATAAATATTATAACTATCATATAAACGTTTAAGTACTTGATAACGAAGATTAGTTATAGTATCTGATGATGATCTGAAAGAAGAGATTTTTTCTTGCAGATATTTAATAATGAGATTTTCCTACATTGGTATTCGAAGTTTTTTATCTTCAGTTATTCGATCAGTTGTATTAGCTAAACATCGAAGAATTCGAATATGTGAAGTAGGTGGTGGTGGTGAAAGAACAATAGTTGTATTTAATGATGATGTTGTAGATGCTTGACGAGATCTTATTGTTAATTTTGGTGTCATTAGTTGAAGCGATTTAACAAAATCGGAATGATCAATCTCAATAAGATCAGATATTAAATGTTCATTATCAATCATTGAACATTTTCGTTTTGGTGCAGGAGTATATAATGGTGAATCAGGTTGTTCTCTTTCAGATTCTTCATCACATTCATATTTAACAATGGAAAATTTGTTTTTTTTATTCGTTTGACGGAACTAAAAATTATCTTCAAGTTTAGCATTTTTTTTTATAAAATAAGTTATACTCGTTTATTTGTTATGATATTATAATCGATTCGATTGTTCATATTTGTCAATCGTCCAAAATCATTTTGAATAATTTTTTGAATAGAATAATTTGGTTCATTATCTAAACACCAAATATTTATTTCGTAAGAAATATTTTTAGAAATTTTTGCAAACTTCTTATTGTAACTAAAAATAATTGTTTGAAACGATTTAATTTTCGTTGATCAATTGATGTTAAATTCTTATCATAATTAAATAAATAATCAACAGCTGTATAACCCTAAGATAATATTAAAAAATTAATATAAGGTAAAGAAAACAAAAGTAATCAAACATTATTTGTACGTATATCAATTCGTGCACTATAGGTAAGTAAGAGTTCGATTATATCGAAATATCCTTGATAGCATGCATTAATAAGAGGAGTTATACCATTATTTGTTTTTGCATTAATATTTGCTTTATGATTAAGAAGATATCGAATAATATCAATATTTTCATGTTCAATAGCGTTATGTAATGGTGTCCAACCATGACAATCAGAAAGATTTATATTGTCCTAAATGTAACAGAAATGAATCATTGGATGAAAAGTATCTAAAAAAGATTTACCCCTTCGGATATAAATTGAATAACTTGTGTAAAACCATTTTTTTCTTTACATGCTAAGTGTAAACGATTAGTAGAATCATGAGTGTTGTCCTGGAAAAAGATACAGCATTGATTTTCAATTGAAATTATTTTAATTTACTAATTCATTTTGTTCATCATCCGATTGAATTGATTCATTAGAATTACGTTCGGAATATCGTAAAATTTCATTAGAATTCTCTTTTGTTATAGGTGGTTGAATATTCGCCATAAATTCTTCTAATTCTTCATTTAAATATATTAGTGAATCACGTTGTTTCATAGCAAATACAAGTGCAATTGCCGTTCTCTATTCAGATAAGAAGAAAATTCATGATTTTATTGAATTATAAGACAAAATTTTACAATTAAACTTGTGTTATTTGTTGATCGAACAATTGTTAATAGACGGTTAAATGTTCTTATTCGTGAATTAACATCAATTTTAAGACGATATTCACATTTAATTATTTCACAAAGTGAATAACCTTGCTAGAAATAAAAGAATAGAGAATCAATTTTATTTCAAAAGAAAATAAATACTTCGATATCTGCTTGAATACCTAAACCAATTCGACAGCTCATTTCACGTCGAAAATAATCAATACTTAATTGCCATTCTTTTAAATCTTGATAAATACTACCAAGTGATGAATAAATAGTTGCCATTTGATCTTCATTTAAATTTAATTCTTGTGCATGTTTTAACTAAAAATAAAATTGAATGTTTTAGTACTGGAATTTAGAAATTTAAATTTACTTGTTTAAGATAATAATATTTACTTCGTTCATTTCGATCAAGACAAGAATATGTATCAGCACATTTTTCGGCTAAAGACATTTTCTTTTGTAAATCATCTTCTTTCTCATATCGATCTTCAAGACCAGTAAGAATTCGTTGAACTAAAATAAACAAATAAATATAGAAAAGAACAAAACACAACAAAAATAGATTAATTACCATTAATTAAATCTTGCATTGCTTTTTCTTTAATTACATGATCAGTTATTTTATATTGAGAAATTTTTACGAGATACATTTTTGCATCATCATAATCGTCAAATGAAACAAGTGTCTAAAAATATTAATCCTTTGAAGACGCACGACATATATATATATATGTTAGGGACAAAATTAGACTATTGTCGGTTTCGACTGTAAAACGTGATTAAAAACCAGTAAGGGAAATAGATAAAAAGCTAAGACTGATAGTGAAGGTGAGGGCGAATGTGTCGTATGGGATTAAAGTGTTAGTCTATCTAAGACCGCCAGAATTCTCATAGACAGTGAGGTTTTGACTGCAACTCTGGTTTCCCGCAATTGTTCACGCTCACCCTCACTCTCGTATTCGAAGTTGATCACCCTCATCAGCACCTTCATCCTCACTATCAGTCTTAGCCTCTTACCTATTTCCCTTATTGGTTTTTGATCCCACCGTATACATTCAAGTTTTGAATCTGCTAGTATTTATCATGATTCAGTATAGAATAACACCTTTAACTATATTCTACTGTGATTGACATTCTCTTTTCATATCACCGTTTATAGTGCCTGTAATTTCACTTCTAACGAAATTTCTACAATACTGATATATCAGCGCACATTATTTTTCTCTGATGAGTTTATATCAAACTCCTACTTGAGCTATATCATATAAACATGATAAATATTCATTGGCTTTTTTTGTTAATTGAGCATAATATATAGCTTGTTTCATTGTTGCAAGAATTTCTTTTTTATAATGTAAATAATTCGGTACGCTAAGATAAAAAACTGATACAGATGAATGAATACGTGTTAATTCTTCATATAAATTATATTTTCTAAAAAACAAAAATTCATTAGAATAATTTCGAAATAGATACTATGATCCTTTACTTCGAAAGTTCTACAGCTTTTTTAATGTATTGACTAAAATCTTTAAGATTTTCATTATCTTTGCCATCATGTAAATATTTTTCACTTAGAGCATTTGCTAAATAAAAACGATTTGTTTTTTTTTATCGTTATGAAAAATGGTATTAGAATATTTACCAATATTAATATAACTTCTTACACGTCTTAAAGCTAAATCTTGTTGTTGTTCTTCAATATCTTTTATTTTAATTAAACGTTTGTCTTTTATATCAATATCTAATTGATAATCAAGTTTTTCTATAATTATTAAACTATTAGTAGCTGCATCGAAACTTCGTTTACATAAATTACGTGGAAATTGATCATATTCACTATCATATAACATATCATCTTGTAAATAACTTAACCATAACCAATAAGTATTTGCTAAACATGTATATGCTTGTTCAATACGTTCATTATCATTATAACTTTTTGCTAATGATAAAAATTTTAAATGATATTTTTCACTTGTATAAAATTCATTTTTATATAGATAACATTCACCTAGAAAACGATGACAATACAATATATCATCATGTAAATTAGCTAATTGAGCTTCATGTAATTCAAGATTAAAATAGATTATTGCTTTATCATAATTTCCTAAATAAAAAAATCAAAAATAATCTTTTTTTCGAATTAATATTAATTACCAATAGATCGACATGCTTCACCAGCTTCATGATAAATATCAATTTTCTCTTGAGAATTATTTTCTGTATTTAACTGACGAATTCGATCTGCTTTTTTTAGGATTTCTTTAATAGAAGAACAGCTTAGAATTTTCTAAGAAAACAAAAACAAAAACGAAAGCATACTTTGTATTCTCTTATCATCCATAATAATATTTTATATACGGATATCTAAAATATTCAATTATATAATGATATATATCTATTTTTATGTTTAATTCTAATACAAAAATATTGTAGGTATAGACAAAAGATATCATCAAATATTTTATTCAATGATATATCTTAATTAAATAATAACCTTCGATATAAACAAGTTATTATTAATGACCATCAAAAAATTTCACGCATCATTTGAATGTCATCTAATCATAATGAGTTTTATTTTGTTAATGAATAGACATGCAAATGAAAAACATGTCATTCAAATATGATTGTTGTTTTTTTTCTATTAAACTAAAATATATATTCGTTCGATATTATTCAATTGGTTCAAGTTTAGTTATATAATAAACAAATAAATTAACATGATTGGTAGGTGGTGTACTTTGTAACGCATATATATATATATATAAATTAAATTTTCAAGATCAGATTATTTTTTATTGAATATTCAATGAAACAATTCAATCTCTAGACTTTTACATAAAAACAAAAGAAATCTAAATACTTCTTCTATTTTAAAAAAATAAATTATTTAGTTAAAATCGTGAAAAGAAAAAAACAAAAAAAAATAAGAAAATCCGTTCTATTAACTATATGTATGTTGAGACGAATATGAATCATAATAATTACTACCACCAACGCCACCAAAACCACTTGTATGATGATCAGCAAAACCAAACGATTCAAGATCAATAGTAGAACCACTATTACGACCTAGTGTATTATTAGTTGAGATTGAATCATAACTACTTGACGAAGCTGCACCAGCACCACTATTAACGACTCCATAACCGCCGCCGCCACCACCACCACCAGCACCACTACCTGCTCCTATTGCTGAATTACCATCACTAAGATCATTGCCTGCAGTACTACCACCGCCTTCACTCGATTCAGCATTTTCTATACTAGCTGATTGAAAACTTGACCTCATACTTATAGGTGGTGACTAATTTAAAAAAAAAGATTAAATTCATATTATAGAATATTTTCTTACAATATCTTCAATAACACCAGCTTGTCGAGCATGTGAAATAAGTGTTTGAGAATCCTCTAGTTGAGATCCATAACGTGCTACATATTCGTCTGGATTTGCAGGTGCAACACCTAAATTCTGAAATCGACGAACAATCTGAGCTTTAGCTGGTTCATAACTGTAAATTAATAAAATAAATATCTTACAATATTTTTATAATTTTTCTTATTATACATACTAAATAATAATGTTACGAGGTTTGGGGATTACTGCAGGTGGAGCACGTTGAATAATAACACGACGTTTTTGTAATGTACGATATGGTAACCAACGTTCGACAATAACATCGCGTGGTCGAGGTGGAAGAGGTGGTAAACGTTCAATAATAACTGAACGTGGTGGTACAGGTAGTGGTGGAAGCATTTTAGTAATAACTATTAAAAATCAAAATTTTAGTTTTTTTTTAAATATATGAATCATTTTACCTTGTGGGCCGACTAGTGGTGGTAATTTAGGTGGAGCTTCACGTATAATCAATGGTGGTAATATTGGGGGTGGTGGTGGACGTTGTCCTACATGATTATAGATATTTAGAAAAAAATAGATTTTCATTTATATTAAATAACTTACGAATAAAGAGTGGAGGTGGTGGAGGTGGTTGTGGTGCACGAATTTCTTTAATAATAAGTGGCTAAAATTATTAAATAATAAAACTTTTTTTTAAAATTCTCTATTGTTTTTTGTTATAATACTTACACCTGGTGGAGGCATGGGTGGGGCTTGTAAAAATTTAACAATAACTCGTTGAGTATATACTTGTGGACCTCCTATTGCTGGTCGACGAAGAATTTGAGGATTAGGATCTTGATAAAGACCTTGAGCATCAGTTGGATAATTTCCCGCTGTCGATGCTTGTTTTTCTGAATTACCAGAACTATAATCATTTCCATTTCCATTGGTAAATGATGCTGCTGAATATCCTGATTGATCAGGACCATTTCGAAATGATGAAATACGAGATTCTCGTCGAGGAGCACCACTATTATTAGAATCATTTAGAAATATCTCTGTATGAACACCATTTAAAAATTGTTCACCAGTACCACTATTTGCATGTGCTTCACTAGTATTGCCATTTTGAGATGACTCACTATGACCGTATGCATCACCACTGCTACCATTTGCATATGTTCCAGCACCGAAATATCCTTCACCATTAGTATCACTATGTCCATACATTGCATTAGTACCACCGTTCATATATGCATCACCTTTGCTACTATTATGAAGTGCTACACTATTACTACTGTTGTGAAGCATCATAGAACTATTATTATCTTGAAATGCTTGTCCACTCCCACCATTTACAAATCCATCAGTATTCCCACCAAAATGAAATGCAAGACCATTATGACCATTTGCAAGTCCATCACCATTGCCGTTAATGTGGAATGCAACGCCATTGAGACCGTTCAAAACTGCATCAGCATTGCCATTAATATGAAATGTTGCACCATTAGTACCATTCATGAATACTTCACTACTTCCCATTCCATATCCTGCTGCTGGTCCTGTATCAAATTTTAAATAATTTCCATTGATATTACCATTTGAAGTTCCGGGGTATGCAAAACCATATCCATCTGTAGATAATTACAAAATAAAACAGTATTCATATATTTAGCTAGTCTTTTTTTTTCGTTATTAATCATCATAAAACTAGGGAAAATACTTACCTTCACCAGAATTACTTCGATACAATGATGATGATCGTTCATATGGCATGTCTAAATTTAGTAAAAAGCTTTTTTTGTTTTGTCAATCTAAAACTTAGAAAAAGAAAAAAAAACGAGTAGAGTAGTGTAATATATATCCAGTATAACCAGTTTGTTTTGTTCTTTTTTTAATAAGTCACACATACGCATCTATTTTATGAAAGAAGTACCAGTTGCATAATTCACACTTTTATATTCAATAAGGTAGAAGGCTGCTAATGTCTGTCTCACTTTGTTATCTGATGTTTAGTCGGGTGTGCAATTTTCATTTCTTTCTCTAGATGTGATTGATATTACATTTGATATACACGTAAAAACAAAAAAATTACACTTGTATACTACAACTGATAGAATCAAGGGCATTCTTTTACTGGAAACAATTCTAAATAGTATGCATCGTCTGCTTATTCATTTATTCATTTGTTTTTCATTCATATTTGTATACAAGACAAAGACCATCGAAAGTTATTATCCTTGAAAGAAATATATATTCTTAAATAGTTTTTTTTGTTATAATTAAATATAGTTATATATATCAGACAAATATTTAACGTAGACAACAAAAAAAGTGTTCTTCAATAATTGTCTCATGAACAATGTTAAATGAACAATACTAGACATAACAAGAACATTTTTTATTTTTTTAAAGATATAGCATTGATTGTCTATTGCTATGATCAGCTTTTTGTTTTTGTTATTATTAAAAGTATGTATTGAAGGACAGAGTATCAATTAATTATAATAGAGATCAATTAAATACAGATTAGTATTGATTATTTTCTCAAAACAAAATATATTCATTTGATGAATCTTTTTTATCCGTATATCTTCAACATATTAACATAGTTTTAGTTCGAAAAAAAAGATATGATTTTTGCCTAACCAACATTGTCTTTATTGCGTATTAGATGACATAAATAAATGTAGAACTAAAAGCTATTTATAAATCAATTATTCTACAATTAGTATTCAAGAAATATATCGAATAGATCACAAAAAAAAAAGTTTTAGAAAAGAAAAACAATCCAAACAGTGAATATTGACGACATCATATATCTTTGGTTTATTCGAGCTCGATTAAGTATAGTTGAGATAGCATGAGGTGTTGATGAACATTTTGCACAACATACATGTCTTATATAAAGTCCTGTTGTACTTGAATCATCTGTCTGTGGACATGCTTGGGATTGATGACATAAGTAATCATTTTCCCAATTAATACATTTAATATCAGTATGTAGATCCTGATTACTAGCTTTTAAATCCTCTGGATTATTATTTGAAGTACAATGTGTAGTTAAATCAAGTATTTTATTATCATATTCAATACTAATTAATGATGAATCAAGATTATCTAATGAAATACATTGATCTTCATAACAAACTGAATTTATACCACATTCTGAACCTGGTAACATTGGACTAAGTATATATTTATATTCTAAAATTTATTTATTTTTCTTTCATAATTTATTTGATAAAAAAAAGTCTACGAACTGCTACTTGATCCTTCAATAAAATAACGGAAATATAAACATTGAGTCGTTACATTTGCTGGCATATATGTATTTGTTACTACTTCTCCCATGGCATATTCATTCGGTTCGATCATTCTTGCTTGTTGATCATTATTCATACGTTTACCAGGCATTGTAGAATATTTATTTTTAATTGGTTGATAATTAATTGGTTTATTAAAAAGACATTCAAATTCACAAATATGATTATTTATCCAATTGTTTTCACATTTCGACCAACGTGCTTGTTCATACGAAGCTGTATGTGTTCTAGTCATAACGGTCATATACGATGTTGTATAACATGTAGTATCAACTTGATGAATAAGACCAAGTTGATGACCAATTTCATGAGCAAGATAAAATCCTGCATTCTGATATGGAAGTAAATACAGGATTTCTTTAAAAATAATTTTTTATTATGTATTCAAGACAAAACAAACTCACTATTAGCTGAATTACAAATTCCTTTTAGTATAGCATAACCTTGAGCACCATCCTTTCCTTCCCATGGTTGATAACAAAGTAATACAATTGAATCATATCTAGAATCAATCAAAATTCTCATTCATTAAAATATTTACACTTCTTTACTTATCATAATCATTAACCAATCCGCGAAGAATTTGTTCATAACTATGAGGTTCTCTTGGTACTGGTTGAACAATATTGAAGTTAACAATCTTTGAATTAATAACTTCTATTTTAATATCAAGATCATTCTTTGATTGAAATATCTGTAACCAAAAAACGACTTCTCACAAAACATCAATTTTATTTATTTACTATATTTGCTGTATCAACAATAGTTTGTATATAATTTTCATAGGAAATTTGTGATGGTTGTGGAAAATAATTTGTATCAATAACAAATAGAGTTTCAACAAAAGCGTAATATCGTTGACTACTAATCAATGATATATAAACAATTTCGATTATTAACGTCAAAGTAAAGTGTGTGAACATATAGAAATTAAGATTTATTTATTTATTTATAATATTACGCGCTTTATATACAAAAAAATAGTTTTATTGAAAATGTCCATTGAGTTCAGCAATAAGAAAATCATCGTCTGTCATTGGTATTGCTTCTTCAGTTTTGAATTTCTTTGGTTTACATATTGGTTGATTTGAAAGACTAGAAGACAAAAGAAATTACATGAAAAATAACAAAACAAAAAAAATAGATTTACCTTAATAATTCTTGTTCTTTTTCATAAATTGCTATATAAACTTGTGATTTTTGTTTGTATCGATCAAGTATTTCAGTTTTTTGTTTAAGAATTAATTGCACATATTCTTGCTTGTGTTGTTCGACAATCTAAAACAAAAAAATATTTTACTATACAACATATAACAAGATCACCTACTATTTGTTTAGTTGAAGACATGATGAATAATAATATTTGATTCTTCTCCTATTCGCATTATATATAAGCATATTATAGTTAACTCTATCGCATCAATTAAGAATCATTGTTAATTGGTATGTGCATTATCGAAAGCAAAAAAATACATCAATTAAGAGATTAATTAAGACTATTGATATCATAAAATATATCTTTGCATAAATCATTGAATTGTTATAACTGTCAAGTTAATCTTTCTTTCTCGCTTTTTATTAACTTGAAAACAATCTTTATATGATCTACACAAAAACGTATATGTTTTTACAATCAAATATACATGTTTGCCTTGTATTACAGGGACAAAAGTAATGCGTAACAAAGAAGCGTGAAAACCAAATTGCACAATTTCGTTATTGAAATCAAGTAATATTATCTGTCTATATAATAACATATCGAAAGTAGTTTCTTTTTAATATTGTGAGTATAATGCATATATAATAGTTTATTTTTTTTGTAAAAATAATTAAATGAATAGCAGCAACAAGGATGATTACATTCATCTATATATATTTTTTTTTAAATATAATCACTTGTACGTCAAGTGGACGATTGCAATATGTCATAGAAACAGACAAATATTGAATATATAAGTGTTGTTTCTCTTACTCTTCCTCTCAACTAAAAGTAATCGTTATACTTCAACAAAGAAAGTATTGTGCTTCTTCAACATTTATAACATAAATATTAAAAAAAAGAAAACGATCATTTTATTCACTATTATAGTTTTGTCGAGACATATAATCACAACATGTCGAATGAAGTTCAAAATATATTGAAAACAAAATTAGTTAAAAAACGATCGACTTCAAAACCATCGGCTTCTATTAATTCACAACCACTTCGTAATCGATCAAAACCTAGAAATAAACGATCAAAAAGCTTGGCATCGAAAATTTCACATCCACCGGTTCATTATCACCCATGGCAATTTGAATATAGTCGACTTTATATTCGTGAAAAATCTCAAAAATCCATGACAAAAGATTCATATCCATTACCCATACGTTCAGTGGCTCATGCAATTGAACGTATTGCAACAGAAGAAGAATGTTATCCGAAATTAATACCAGCCAATGCAATACATATTGAAATACCAATCATTCATCAAAAAAGAAAATCTTCATGTAAATCTATTTTTTTTGATTGATTATTTTTACAAATGAATACTTATTTTAGTACCAAGTATTGTTCGTTATGTACGAGGAAATGAATTATTTCCATCTCAACGATCTATACCACATACTCGATTGCAATATCAATCTAAAACATCTTTTCCAATTATTAATCCTACGAAAATAAATACTCTTGCGCCAACTAAGATACATGTTGATGCATCAATTATACGACGACCACCAAGACGATTAATTTTAAATACGAGTTATAGACGCAATTCATCATTTACAATATATAATTAAAAACAAAAATTCTTAGTCATCATAGTCAGATTTAAACGAATTAATTTTTTTTCTTGTTGTATTTATAAAATAAAACTTGCTCTCTAATTATATTCGGAATTTAAAAGATAAAATAGAATACGATGAATATTAATGTTTTTTACTTCGCGTGAAATTTGAAATGAATAATTATCCAGTTTTTGTATAGACGATTGTGCCGTGTTTTATTACATGTCGAATCAAATGAGTATGATCGCCGAATTGATAGATGATATGCTCCCATCTAAATAATACAAAACTGAAAAACTCGAGATAATAAATCAAATAATATCGTACGATGGACATCGGCATATGATTAGATCTGCTTTTTTTCCTACTTCTATTGAACCATATTTATCAGAAATACCCAATGCTGCAGCACTATTAATTGTAGCTGCTGCTAATGCTTCTTCTAAAGTCATATGACATAAAACACAAGCTAAATTCATTGATATTGACTATAAGAAAACAAAAAAACTGTTTATTTCATTGAAAATAGAATTAACAAACCATAGCTGATGAGAAAGCATTTGGATTTGCATCTGTTCCTAAAGCTATTGGTACTCCAGCATCGATCATTTTTCTTACAGGTGGTAATTCAATTCTTAATAAATATCCTGTATGAGGTAAAATAACACCAATTGTTTTTGCTTTAGCCATTGCATGAATACCTTCATCAGAGATACATTCTAAATGACTAATAGCTCGTGCACCAATTTCAGCACCCATCTATTTGAATATAAAAATTATTCGAATTATAAAATAGATAATTTACTTCAGCTGAGCCTGTATAATTAAGTTCATCACCATGAAAATTTGCTTCAAGACCTATTTCTTTACCAGCAAGAAGTATTCGACGACTTTGTTCTGTATCATATACACCTAAAAATATTTTCTATAGTAAATTATTTCATTTTTATAGAGTAATATAGATATATACCCTTTTCACAAAAAACATCGATGTCACTAACATTTAATTCTTTATTATCCATTAATTTTTTTAAAGCTTTTATTTGATTATTCACAATATCGTCTGTCATTTCTTCAGCAGTTTTATTTCTAAATTTAAATCATAAAGAAAATCAATTCTTTTTCGTTTTCTTACTTTGGTATGGCATGTGCACCACAATAAGTGATTGAAATTCCAATAGGTATATGTGAACGTGCTTGTTCAAGAAGTTTCAATAAACGTAATTCATCAGGCCATTCTAATCCATAACCTGTTTTACACTCAACATAAGTTGTACCTAATAACAAAAGAAAATTTTATATAGGATAAAAATCAAGTTAATATTTACCAGCACATAGCATACGTTTCAATCGAGCAACTAAAGAAACAAGAAGATCTTTATCGGTAGCTAATCTTGTTTGTTCAACTGTGAAACCAATACCACCACCTTCACGCATTATTTCCATATAGGTAGCACCTGCTAACTTTAATAATAAATAGATAAAATTTTGAAAGAAAATATTTTTTATAGGTCATACTTTTTTTGCATATTCATGAACTCGATCACCTGCCCAAATTGGATGTGTATGTGCATCAACGAAACCTTTAGAAAATAAATATGTGTCATATTTTATTAGAATAAATCTAAAAAATTTATTTTTACCTGGTAAAATGCAACAACCAGATGCATCAATTTTCTCATTTACTTCTACTCCTTCAAATGTTCGTGCAATATCATCATCTGTTCCAATTGCTATAATATTTTCACTATATAATAAATAAAATGAATATGTCTATTACACGTAATTAATAGAATCAATAAATCCCATCACCATTTCATTATTAATCGATTTTTGCTTCTCTTACTTTTCAATCATTAAACTTAAACCAACTGTATCAGATTTCATTATTCCAATATTATGCATATCTTTTCCACATAACATTTTTTCACCATTATTATGTGTCACTGTAACAATCTGTCTAGCACCATAAATTAATATTCTTAATGTCATCTATAATATAAAAGAAATTAAAACGTTGACATAAATAGAATTATTATTAACGATCCATATAGAATATGCTCGAAAGATTATCTCTATTTGAAAACCTTTGCTTATTTCCAATACTACCTATTCGCTGTGAATATCCACCGTCATATATATTATAGAATACAATATCGTTCATTACTACCGTAGGAATATTAATCATAGCTAAACGTTTTATATAAAAAAAATTACGTATCTATTGTAGTCTAACAAAAATGTGAATGACAGGTAATAAGGGACAGAAAAATAAATATTATTATCGTATTAATACGAAAAGAAAAAAGAATAATAGATATTACTGTCTTATAGTGATAGATACAAGTGATTAACGAATGAAAACTTAAATGAAAACTATTGAATTTGAAAGTATTGATAATTATAATTTTTCAAACGATTTGATGATTTGCATTACATTCAATCAGAATTAAAACGATGTAAATTGCATCAATGATAAAACTGATAACTATCACCATCTGTCGATAAACCATAATAATCATACCTTTTCAAAACTTTATTTAGAACATGTTGAAGTCAGATCTGTCATATATTTTACTAAATCTAAACTTTGTCATGAATCTGTTAAATATACTTCTATATTTATAAAGTAATAATTTTGTGCATGTAAAAAACAGAATCATTCATCTTTCTCAATATCAAGACTTCAAGTTAGTTTAAATATAATTCTGATGATTTTACATAATTAAGTTCAAACTAACAACAAATATTAATTATTCATTCAAAATATCGAATATAATCAGATTAATAATGCTTCATGTTAAGTCCATCGGGCTATTTTACAAAAGTAAACGGACTTTCAAAAAGAACAAGACATTCCTACCTGGTTTTTCGACAGTTATACTGTTGACTATCTACAAATCTTATGCATTCTCATTTTTTTTAAACTCCTAGTTTCAAAATGATCTCTTATCATTTAACCAATACCTTACGTCATCTAACATACCTTTAATAGAAAAGAAAAAGTTATGTTGACGAATGAAATTCAAGCATTTGTATTCTTACACTATAGGTCTTGGAAATTTCTCTTCTTTTTCATTTTTCGATCACTTCCTTTATTTTGTCATACATAACATTTATTTTCAATCATGTCAAAAGAAGTATTTGAAGAAGCAAATGAAGCTTTTGTCGATGATAGATATGATCAAGCATATGAAGTTCGTAATAAAAAAATTCTCTTCTTTATTAGCAAACAAATAAAAAATATTTTATTTTATAGCTTTACACCAAAGCTCTTGATAGTGATGATAAAACCAATAATCAATTTACATCGAAAGTATTAGCAGCACGTGCTCAATGCTTATTGAAATCAAAAAAATATGCTGGTAAAGAAATTTGTCCTTTTGTCTTTTTGGTTAATATTTTAAATTTCTATTAGATGCATTGAATGATAGTAATAATGCAATTCAATTAGATGAAACAAATATTAAAGCATATCTTCGTAAAGGTACAGCATTATATAATCAAGATTCAAAAGATGAAGCATTGAAAACATTTATTCGTGGACTTGAAATTGATTGTATGTTTATTAAATTATATTTAGTCTTTTATTTATTTACTTCTTGCCTTTTAGCTGCTAATGATCAATTAAAAGTATGGAAAGAAAAATGTGAAAAAGATTTAGAAGGTATGATTTAATCTTTTTCTGATTAAAATATTCATTTTATTTTAATACAGAAAAAAAACCAAAAACAACTACTGCTGAAAAACCAACACCAGTAGCAGCTGCTGTACCTGCTCCACCAGCTAAAATTAAGTATGATTTGATTTACTAATTCTTAGTTTTCATAATCATATGTCTATTATTTTTTATAGTCATTCATTTTATCAAACAGATACAGTTGTTACAATTCAAATTCCAATTAAAGGTCTTAAGAAAGAACAAGTACAAGTACAAACAACAGATAAAACTGTACGTTTTAATATTTATTCAATATAAATTTCATATTTTTCTATTGTTTATTTTAGTTGAGCGTTAGTACAAAAATTCCAGCAACAGGTAATGATTATTCTCTTGAATTTGATCTTGCTCATCCTATTGATTCATCACGTACAACTTTTAATGTAACTGGTTTCAATGTAAGATTCATATTTCTATTAAAATTTATTTATCAGATTGATTTAGATTGAAATTAAATTATATAAACAACAAGCTATTCAATGGTCGTCATTAGATGCAAAATCTTCTGCAAATAAATCGCAACCACCTGGTACAGAATCGTTTTATTTGTTTATATGATATATGCATAATTTTTTAATTCTACTAGTTCCAATGAGCCGACCAGTAACACAAAAAGCACCGACTTATCCATCATCAAGTCAACGAGCTAAAAATTGGGATAAAGTTGAAGCAGAAATTAAGAAAGATGAAAAAGATAATAAAGAAGATATGGGTGATGCAAATGCGTATGTTGTTTATTTTGTTTAGAGTATTTAATTGTAAATTTTTGTATTTTCTTCAAGCATATTTCAACAACTTTATCGAGATAGTGATGAAAATACTCGTCGAGCTATGAATAAATCAATGGTAAGATTTATGATTTAAATTAATTAATATAAAAATTGAATTATGTAGTACGAATCGGGTGGTACGTGTTTGAATATGAATTGGGAAGAAGTAGGCAAAGGCAAAGTTACTTGTGAACCACCAGATGTAAGTTGAAATTAGATTTAATTTTTCTTTTTGAAAATAAATCATGTTTGGTTTTTTAAGGGTATGGAATATAAAAAATATGATTCATAATGAATAACAGCTATACGACAACAGAACGAATGGAAAATGTTTCAACAAAATAGTTTTTTATATTTATAAAATCTTCTGTTGTTATCGTTATTTTGTGATATTAGAAAAACTGTTCATTTTATAAATACTTTAAGATTATACTAACTAGATATTGATCAAGTTTCTTTTACAAGGACATTGATGTCTTTCTTTCTTTTTTATATAGCTGATGTTTAAAACAATAAACTAGAGGCTTTTTTTGGAGATGATTTCATTTAATCTTGAGTTGTTTTTAAAATCTTCTTCATGGTTCGATATCAGCATGAATTTATAAATTTGATTTAGTTTCGTATAAAAGGCTACTTTAGATTATTCCAAATGATTATAACATATTTAGATAGAATTGCATACTAATACAGTATTTTTGTAAGTTACATGACTCACTTACGCTTGTCGAATGTATCAAGGATTAGAATATCTCATACTTTTCATTCTTGTATCATTCTCACATTTTATCTTCTTCGTAACAGTGATAAGAAAACATATTATTTTATTAACTATTTTTCTTCAACACTTGTGAACTGACTAGCATATCATATAAAACACTATTAATAATATTTCTTATTAATCAAAGTTCTCTCATAATATGCAAGGTTTTCTTATTGACAAATTATTATTTATATTAATCTAATATTGTTGAATGATTATGAGCGCCGAGCGTACAATATGTTAATTACATAATTTAAATCTGTTTTTTTTGCACCAGAAACATAAGACATCCTAAGTATGATGTATGATAAACCTCATGGAAAAATATTAAACATCGTATTGTAGTAGAAAGAAAATTTTCATTAGAATATGAATCTGAGAATGTGGCTGTATTTATATGTAAAAGACAGCGGGATAAAATATTACTAGGAATGGGAATCGAATCTATGCTTACTGTTATGATTTGGATCTTAAGTCCAATGCCTTAACCACTCGACTACCCTGGCATGCTACAGAGTAGACTACTGTAATCTACAGATATGTCTTAAAACAATCAGTAGAAATGGATCTTCATATTTTACACACATTGATATAAGAAGCAAAAAA